GCCAGAACGGCCCAGAAATAATTTAATTTGGGAGTGGTGAATAAAGGGTTTCAACCTGAGGTGACGCCGAGTGCGTGTGGGAGTAATTCCATTCGTCTGGCGTGTTGGCAATCGATATGAACGTTTAGATTAACAGTTTATGTTTCTAAAATATGACCCCGCCTGTTTCGTAGTTTGGGTTGGTGCACTGTAATCATGAACACAGCATTCCAAAACTGGCCAGAATGGTTCCTTTGAATAGCTGGGGCACATGTCATGAGTACCATGGCGCATGCGGGCAAGTAGCCTTAGATGTTGAGGCTCATCTAAGCATATTGCATAACGCAGTTTAATAGGTGATTTTGAAACGAGCTGCGTAGAAGTGTTCAAAGTATTTCTATATACATTATGTACTGGTATTTTCTGGGGGTCTTCACCATTTCTCCTAACGTCTCACAACCCTGTGGGCCCTCATGGCCTGTTACACGGATAGCTTTACTTTTTTTTCCCTTTCTTTATTCTTTTGTAATACCGACAGTGGTGATTGAGTGGACACTCCTATGTCATCGGGAGGTTCCGAGTTGAAATCGCCGCCCTATACTGGCTAATATGGTATGAAGTTTTTCATGTTTCTTCAGTAACGGTAACTTTGCGGTAACGTAGTTCGTTGAGACAGTATGCTACAAGCCAAGAGGTCACGGATTCGAGTCCCGATGAGGGCATTGGATTTTTCAGTTTTACCTAAACTTTCAAGCCGCACTATGGACCTGGGGTCGACTCAGCCTTTAACATACGCTAAATGAGTGCCAGGAATCTTCCTGGAGGATAAAAGGCGGCTGGCGCGTAAAGCTGACGGCCTCACCGCCATCTGTGAGCCGATATTTTAGAAAATATAGGAGCCTTGACTTGTGACAATCCCGTGGGCTTCCGCGGCATGTTAAGGGTTAGCTTTTACCTCAGTCCTTCAAGTCGTATGTTGGGATAGTACGTATATGAAGTCTGGCCACGTTAGCTTTCTGTCGCATCCTTTCCAATTAATCATCCATCAGTCATCCAATCATTAAACGCAGTATAGTCCAAATCAGGGGAAACCAAACTAGGCCCACGGGCCGGATCCGAACGTGAGACCTTTTTATGGGACTCTCGGAGCTGTTGTGTAACATTTCGATAATTTTTTTTAAATTTGCATCAGCGTTAATTTCCAACATTTCGTAAGCATTATAACGTTTTTCTGTAGGAACGTAAGAATTTAATTTCAGATGATTTATGCAGCAGATAGCGCAGTCTGTATATCTATGAGTAGGATGGCCGGGGTTTGATTCTCAGCAGGGGCAAGATATTTTTCTCTGCCCCAGAGCCCAGACCGGGTCTGCTGCACACCCACCCTCCCGCCCAATGGGTACCGGGGGCTCTTTTGTCGGGGTTAAAGCGCCCGGGATGTGGTACTGACCACTCATCTCTATGTAGTACTGAGGTAAAGATTGGTGGAGCTATACCTCCACTCCCCAATAATCTTCAGTAAACAAGCATAGGAACATCTTATCATTAACTTTTGAAAAATTTTCATTCAACGATGTTTCTGAAATGCTGTCCTGCAAAACCCTTGCATACCCTAATGTAGCCCTTCAGCTGTAAAGTTTACCAACACCTGGTACTGACACCGGGAGCTTAGTAAAAAGCGCCCCCCATATACACATTAATAGAAATGAATTCACAGGAGGTTGGAGAAAACTGCATAATAGGAGCTTCATAACTTGTACTCTTCTCCAAGTATAATTAGAATGATCAAGTCAAGGAGGATGAGATGGGCAGGTCATGTAGCACGAATGGGGGAGACTAGAAATGCGTATAGGATATTGGTGGGAAGGCCAGAAGGAAAGAGACCACAGGGAAGACCAAGGCGTAAGTGGGTGGACAATATTAAAATGGATCTTAGAGAGATAGGTTGGGATGGTATGGATTGGATAGATCTCGCTCAGGATAGGGACCAGTGGAGGGCTCTTGTGAATACGGTAATGAACCTTCGGGTTCCATAAAATGCTGGGAAATTCTAGACTAGCTGCAGAATTGGCGGCTCCTCAAGAAGGGCTCAGCTTGATGAGTAAGTATATACATTAATATTTTTATATATATAACTCATTTTGATTGTTACAGTTGAGGGGGAAAGGCGTTTAGGAATGAAAACTGTAGAGTAGGATAAAGGGGAGAAGAAGATACAGCCAGTAACAAGTAGAAAGGGGTGGAGACGAAACTGGGAAAAGAAAAATTCCCCTTTTATGTCGTTTTATGTCATCTGTGTACACATTTTTCCGAAGCTGTCATTCTCTTTCATGATGATTTGGGTAGGTTGGGGGGAGATACTGTGCCTCTTGTATCAGCTAATCATGAATTTTAATCTGACGAAAATACAACTGCACAGCAGGTTCAAATCCCGGATTTTAACAGCATGGCACGCGTCCAAAAATGGTCGTGACGGAAATAAAGCAACTAATTTATAGCATTTTCGGAATCTGAGAAATGCTTGTGAAGTGGTGGAACACCTGTAGCTCTCTTCTCCACATTGAGTATTATAAGATGCCGTGTAATGATACGTTAATCACATTTTTTTTAGAAACAATGCTGTCATTAATTCAGTGACTCATGATCCCTTTGCCGGGTTATAATTCACATGAGTGCACTGTGGCCATCAGCTTCGCCATTAGCTGCTGATTTTCAAAGTGACATCTGCGTTCTGTAACCAGTTTGAAGGACTCCTTCATGAATTGTGATGTTTTTTTTGCAACGCCTTATCGGTTAGACCTTTGCAGTGTGGGATGAGATGTGGTTATATGATTTAGTAAGAATGATCACAGCAGAGCAGGTGTTCTTGGCCTGTTTAAGCAATGAGTGCAAGGAGGATTGAGAAAAATCACCGAAACGTCGTAGAATGGTCCCTCATATTTGATGATATGTCATCAGGATGGACACAGCATGACAAGGAAATCATGTAAATAATATGGAAACAGGAGAGCCGGGATAGCTCAGTAGGTATAGCGACTGGCCACGGTCTGGATGACCCAAGGGGTCAAGAATTTTCTCGGCTCCACCGGCTCCACGTCGTCCAGACCGACTGTGAATCCCATCCAACCTCCTATCCAATGGGTAACGGGGGGCGTAAAGCTGACCCCCTACCACCAACTAGTGCCGAGGACAAGAAAATATGGATCTATACATCCACCCCCCATACGCCCTTCATGGCGTAGTGCTTAGTTAAGTGCACAGGGACTTCACTTTTTATGCAGACAGGTCGAATACAGTAGTTTTTTCTAGTAGGTGTAAAATATTACAAGAACAGACCGAATCGACCATCCTTAACCATCTGATAAAGAAATGTATAAATAATATTTAAAAGGTATATAACTACCTCACAGAAAAAACATCATGTATCACATAGAGAGTTAAGTTGAGGCGAAAATCACTGTTTATTCTTGGATTGTATTTAAGCATTAGATAAGCCTGTGGGCAGATTGCAATCTTTTAAACCGTCTGGTGGAGATTGGATATTGTGTTTATCACGTGCTTAAAACAGTAAAAATATGTTGAGTTGCCACTACACCAGATGCTTTGTTCACTTGTAAAATTGTTGCTGATAATCCACACACAGCACTTTTATATATTCCTTTTACATCATTAACATATGACAGGGATCAGTTTCAGACAAATATAGTTTTCTGGAGCTATATGGTGTTGTATGCTATGTGGTCTTCAGGCGTCTTATCTTTGATTATGTGCAAGATAATACCTTGATCAGCATGATACTGGAACAACATTGAATGTGCATATGATTTATGCATGACAGTGCTGTATTTGGTACGTAGTATTAACGTGTCCAAATTAATGCCCTCCTCACTTAAATGGAAGTCAGATGTTGTATTTTGAAATGTTATGTGTCTCTATTGTCTGATATTTAAATATGATAATCTGATATTATGATGAGATCAACAGTAACAACTTTGTTCCACACCTGATACCTGTCACATTTGGTGGATATTGTTTTGTGCCCTGTCATTGCCGCATAACCCAGTGGCATGCAATCATTCCTGTCACTTTTTAAGGAGTGCATGAAAACGTGTATTGAGATTGATTTCAAGTCTTTCAGTGCAGTATTTGTACCATTAATTGAGATATTAAAGCAGTAAGATAGGTTATGAGCATCAGCGCTCAGTCACAGTCATGCGTGATTTACAGTATGTATAATTACATACATTAATATACATAAGGAAATAATATTGTGTGAACATCCCTTAAGTATCTCATTGATTAAGAACTGCTGTTTCTGCCAGTATATCCTGTTACCAATATTGTTCTACCAGTTCATTTATAAAGGCAAATGTTTTATTATTTTGCTGTAAATTGCATCAATGTTACAACATTTTCAAACAGTGAGTTAAAGAATTTAATCATTATTAGATATTATTGTGATACTGATTTTGAACATATGTTATATGCGTAGCCTGTGTAACCCAAACACAGACATAGTCCGGATTTCACGTACTGACTGCCCATATAACTTTGGGGATATAAAGTAAAATCAGGTTTCAGAGAAGTAATAGCTTATGCTGCTTTCCTACATATAATTAAAAAATGAGACCTGAGAACATTGTAATACTTCATCATAGGTCACTTATTCATACCCTCATTTTCTGAGCTATAAAAGTGGATATGCCAATATCTTTGTGTTTCATGAGGATCATACATCCCTGTGAAGGGAAGCAAGTTGTTGTGTTATTGTTTTGTATTGAGTACATTTTGCAGGAGTTCTGTAAGTTCCATCACACGTGATGTGAAGCCAGAACAATGAAAATGTATGATATCTCTATTCCTGTAGGCTTTACAACAGTCATGTTTCATCAAGAAAAGTTTTGGTTCTATGCTAAGCAACTTTTGTTGGAGTGTAGCGCTGGGTGAACATTTTATATGGGGTGCCTTACGTGTCTTATGTTTTCTGTGTTGTAACAATAGGCAATTTTCTTTCGTTTCAGACCAAGAAGAATAATCCAAACCACATCAAACGGCCAATGAACGCCTTTATGGTGTGGTCCCAGATAGAACGGCGCAAGATTTGTGAACAGCAACCTGATATGCACAATGCAGAGATTTCCAAGCGGCTGGGACGGCGGTGGAAGATGCTGTCAGAAGAGGAACGACAGCCCTTCATTGATGAGGCAGAGCGCCTCAGACAGTTGCACATGCAGGAGTATCCAGATTATAAGTACAGGCCCAGGAAGAAAGCTGTCAAACCACTCCCAAAAGTGTCTGCTCCTCCAGCGAAGAAAGCAAGGAAGTCTACCCCAAATCATCACTTACAGAGGAATGATACCAATAATAACCACCCCCCTCACGCTCTCAGTACGGCCAGCAAGGACAGAAGTGTGTCACAAGCTCAACAGCATTCACTGATTCATTCAGGAGGGTCAACTCGTGCACGCATCACCAACACACTCAGTCCAGTCAATCACAGTAGGCTGAAAGTACGCCTCACCATTGACCGTAAATTCAAAGACAGTATCCGAAGCAATCGACAGGCCTCTCCAACTCACCAACAGTATGCTCCCCCTCCTCCCACTGCAACTGCCAAGGTGCCGTCCAGTCCTTCCTGCGATACCCCGGATTCCCCTGAAAGTGCATCCTTCTACGATGACACGTCCATGCTTCTTGATGTGAAATTCAATCCAGCAACAGTCACATGCCCATCTGGCCTAACTGCATCCACAACCACCACCACCACGACATCTGTTGAGAATCGCGTAGGAAGAGACTATGGAAGTCAGCCATTTGCTTTAAACAGGCTTGATTCTGGCAACAGTGTAAAATCCATCAAAATGGAGCCCATGGATTATGAGAATGTGACCATCAAGGAAGAGCCAATTGAGTGTGAGTCGGAGACTGCTGCAACTGGTGCGTCACGAGCAGGAGAGAATCCAAGCCTTGCTGATCTAGATTCCCTCACCGACCTCCTCCAAATCCCGTCCGACTTCAGAGTGGATCTTGACACACTCACCACAGATCTGGACTCTTTTGATACAGCCAGTTCCAGTTCAGGATCTCACTTTGAGTTCTCTTGCACTCCGGATGTGTCTGACATGCTATCTGATATTGGTGTGAACAATGACTGGGTTGATACAAGTTTTGCCAATCTGATCAACTGTTAAACAACCGACTGAGTGAACTGAACTATTGGTGCTAGTAGGGCACTGTACAGTGTGAGTTGGTTACAGTCATGTCACTTTAGTCATTTTCAGTTTTATCCTTGCAGTCAGAATTACAGTTTATATATTTCAGTGGATCTTGTAAGCTTGTTTCAGCAATGCTCTATTCTGTTCATACCTCTAATTTTAATATATGCATAACGCCTTCGAATTAATAACTTTTTCATCTGATTCATTTGAAAATTGTTAAATTTCAGATAGGAAAAAATTTAAAATGACCATTGTGACAGTTGGTCACGTAAGGGTCGGGTGTCAACTTTTGCAAGTGACACGTCACTTTGCAGTGCCCGAAGTCTACATGTTAACATCATTTGTATTGCATTGCAAGGTGTGCATGAGCTTGGATGTTTCCATTTATGTACTATAATCTGGCATCCATAGTAGGTCCTACTTGTGTACTCAGTAAGGTTTGATCTCTTGTACAATGATTCATGATATCATTGTATGTTTTTATTATCATGTGTTGAGCCTAGTTCCACAGTAGGCAATTTCTACCACTCAATAGTGCCTAGAGATCCGTTGTGTGGATCTTTCGTACAAATACGGTTGAGTAAAAATTGCACAGGGCCACAAAAATCATTCACTCATTATTGCTGACTCCAGGGAGAACTATATCAGGCTGTGATTACTGAACTCTGGTGACCAAACTTATGTTCCCCCCCCGAAAATTGGTGACATGTAGGTGCTTGTGTTGCGACATAACAATATTGGAAATTACCCTCTTGATATTTTTGTGTTTATTCATCATTTATTTCATGGTGGCCGATGTCTTAACTGTATACCCCTTCAGTAGGGCCTAACTGAACTTTAATTCAACTAATTGCACTGAATCAACAAAGCTATACTTAACGGGAACATATCACGCGATTCATCCTAATTGTCAATATTATCGTAAAATTCACTATGTTTGTATTTTCTTTGACAGTGCATGAAATTTAACATGTGCATGGTATTTAAAATGCTTTTAAAATTTAATTGCTATAACCATGTTAGCGAAATATAAGAATTGGGGTTTTCACAGCAGTGAAGATATAGATTGGCGTTGTCTGGGATGTGACCTCATGTAATCTGGTGGGTTGTCACCAGTATTTCATAGACAGCTTCTGCTTCCATCTTTAGGGTAAAACGGGGAGATGGAGGTAGCGGATTTGTCCAAAATATTGATAATCGACCATCAGACTACATGGTATCATAACCCAAACCACAAGCCAGTTAATAATAAAAACATTAAAATAGAAGTCAAAAGTGTGTACTTAATTAGACTTTGAAAACTGAGAAGATAAAAAAAATGCTTTGAGGTATGTACAAAATCAAGAAAGCACAGTCGGACTTTCATCTCTCCTATGTAATCTGTGTGTTTCCAGTAATTGAGATGTATAAAATAAATTTATGGTGTAGAAAAGATTTTGAAATATTGACCTACCAGTCGTTTTTAAAAATTAACAAAACATCTATCAACACGCTGCTTAGCGTAATGACATGTGAAATTTCTTTAAACTAGGGATAGGACATTCACACCTGATTATTCTAGATTCTATTGACTTTCATTTAACCCTATATTACACTTAATAAAATCTTAATATAAAAAAGAAATGAAAAAAATTAGAGGACAGATGTGGAGCCAGGTGTGGAATCTTTGTGTAAGGCTTGTAAGTATGGCATCTGCAGTTTCAGATTGTTCATGCAGAGGTAAAGATTGGCTTCATTTTTTTGTAAGTCTCAACTTAGACCACAAAATTTCATTAGGACAAATAAAAAATCTTCTAAACGTTAAAAAAATTTCAGTACATTTTACGATGTATAATTGGAGCACCCATTGGTGTGTCTTTTACTCCATTAGCCAGGTATTCTTAAGACTTAAGACTCAGTCTAGTAGTGGTGTTTGGGTCCTTTGTTTTCCTCAGTTTCTTTTTGTAAATTATAAAAGGATATATCCCTTTTTTGAAGCCCCAGCTGAAGCATCATCGATTTCTGAATGCATTGGTGGGTCATTATACGCTTATGTACGACGTTAATTATACATTCAATATAGTCACTTGTAAGATAGAGCGGTAGGCATATAAAAAGCACAAATAACGATTCTTGTAACCATACACAATCACTTTATGGGTACTGTTGTGTGGGAGATAATTTTTATAATAATGACAGATGTGATATATATACATATATATTAAGGTTCTGTCTTCTTATGTGTGCTTTCTCTGATGGAAGTTAATCCATTATAAAATGTATTTGTATGTTCTGAGCACTTGTGTGCTATCTCATTGGAGTGTATAGGATTCTTGCTGTGTGTTCCTCAAAACATGGGTTGTACAACTGTGTGTACAGTTATGGCTCTCCAAGATTAGCAGGTATGTTTGTAGGCACAGGAAGAGATAGTGTTTGGGAGGAGAGCTATGTAGTTTGGCCAGGGGATGGGGTGGAATCTTACTTGAGTTTGCAGCCAAGTTAGATGGGATATTGTATTAGTATTACTACTGTTTTGCTGCAAACTTACAGGCCCATGTAGTCACCTTGTTTACTCCAACACCCCTCTCTTGCCAGTGGTGTGGTGTGGCAAAGGATTATTGTAACCTCGGATTAAGTGTGGCATGTCAGGAAATCCTGTGGAAAAAAAATTCAGACATTCTAATCAAGATTCATAAACTGTGATCACACTTGGAAAGTGGGGAAATCAGATTTTGTGTGGCATGTCAGGAAATTTCTTTAGGAAATTTTCAGACATTCTAATCAAGGTTCATAATCTGTGATCACACTTGGAAGGTGGAGACATCACAAGCTGCATCTTTGCTTTTCTTTTGTGTTGGCAGTAACATATTTGTACATTCACTCTTAAAGGTTTCCTTGTTCCATGTGAACATGGAAAGAATTTCAACTGTTAAAGCTATAACGGTTTACCACTACTATCAGATTCTTGCTTTACTTTTGACAGGGCTTGTTTGGTCGGGTATCTGCTGTACAGAGGCCATAGAAAGGATTGTCATGAATTCACCCTCAGTTAATATCCCCTGAGCTGTTACACCTTTCCCCTCCATTCACTGGAATATTATTAGTGATAACCTGTGCTAGTGACGAGCATTTTGGTCTGGTTGATATAAGGCAGAAGGTGCTGGGGAGGAATATAATAGTACCCAGAAAGGTGGAAGTCTTCAGTACTGAAATTCCCACCATCCCTGGGACTGTTTTCCATCACCTCAGTATAGTTTACTTGGCAGAGACTAGCGAGTGATGCATGATGACACACATGGTACTGTTTCACCTGAATATTGATAGCATAAGCCTCTGAACCCCCTGCTTGAAGGATGTGCTGGTGCAGTGTTGCAGGTTGTGATGTTAAGGTTGGCCACAGTAGACTCAAATCCCTGTAACAGCCATGCCTCCCATTGTTTTCTAAGTCAGTTTTTTGTATCCTCCATGCCACAAGCACACTTTGTAGATGTAGGGCCTATTTATTATTCCACTTCTATTATTTTGTTTTTCTTATTTTATTGTGTGCTTTGTTAAAGAGAAATACCTTCTGTGCTTTTGTTATGTTAATATTTTGTACAACCTCACACTAAAAAGATTTTACAAGTAAGAGATAATTTATGAAACAAATTAGCAATATTTTTGCATATAAGATAAAATAGTGTAAAAAAGAGTTCCCCTAATGGCATTTTGTAAAACAACCCATGTACCATAATTCATATATAAATATTATAGTTAAATGATAACGTGTACATTTTGTATTGTAGTTTGTTTATAAATATATATGGTAAATATACCATCCCATTTTTTTAAAAGAACATATTGTTTTTCTGTAAAATATGTGAAACAGCCTAAATCCATAACCCAGCACAATATTTTCGACACAAGAAGTAACATTCCAAGGAAAGGGAAAGAACAGAGCTGCAACGAAGGCAGAGTTTCACCATAAGTATGTGTAATTAAACGGATAAATAGAAGTATTTGTGAAGTTTCCATACTTAGTGTGTGGTGGTAACAGCTTTCTTTTCTCGGCAAAGATTTTCCAGAGTTCATGCATAAGTCTCAAAATTTAAAATTATCTGCATCACACAGCCTCCATTGAAAGCTTGTAAGGTTTTTAATCCCATGTTTTAGAAGCACGATACATAGGTATCTCAATCGTTTCAAGGACGTACTCCATTTGTGACGTCTCTTAGCCACACCCGTAGTACAGATACCAGATTAATGTTTATTCTAGCTGAATAATTATTGGATCATTATTTTCTGGTCTCGGGGGTCAAGAATTTTCTCCAATTCGTTCAGACCGGCTCTGGGGCCCACCCAGCCTCATCGAATAGGTACTGGGAGTAAAGCGGCCCGGGCGTGAAGGTGACCACCCACCTCCAACTAGTGCCGATGTCAAGAACATGTGGATCTATACATCCACTCCCCCATACACCGTCGTGGCGTAGTGTTGAATTAGTTAATCACAGGAACTTTATTTTTTTACCTCGGGGTGTTGCAGGGATCGTAACGTCGTAATCCAGCCATGGCACCAATTGAAATAGAAGTTACATATTTTGTGATGTCATAATTCTGTGTGTGGATATATAAATACATATTCGTTGTCTGGAGATACGTTATTTAGTGGCGATATCGGTGTAGCAGTTAGAATGCTGTAGTTGCCGCAGTTTGTCACAGAGACCTGTAGATAACATACACTGTATCTGTAAATTTCTCATACCCTTCCCGCCTGCCCGTGTCAAAGCCTGCTATGAGAAATTGCAGTGACAGTGATTTGTGACCTTGTGCGCGTTTGTGTACGTAGTGGAACACGTGTTTATTTTATTTATTTTTCGCTGTTGATGGGTACGAACAGACCCGTAATTGAGAGGGTAACAAAATTAATGCGCAACTTGAGGCACAGGTATTATAAACGTACGAAGAAAGTAGTTTTGAACACAATAATCGACTGACATTCTCCTACTCAAGGACCAAGCTAGTAACGCGAGTTGCCGTAATGGAATCCAGTGCTTTGTAATCAGCTTCTGTACGAAATGTTTCGGCAGCACTGGTTATTTTGACGGGTATATTCTAGGTTAAAACTTGAAATATTTATTTATTTTACGTTCAGTTACTATGAAGTCATGAGTTAGGATAAACATTCAAGATGAACAATAAAGCAACAGTTACGAGTGGTGCAGTTTTGTTACACAAACCGACATGATGGTGTGTGACACATTTATTTACCTAGGAGAAGAAGGAACGTAATACAAGTGATGAGATATGTCATTAATTTATGGGCAAGAAAGTGCAGTGTTCATGGCCGCATTTCACAGAATTCCAATGAAGGTAAGTTTTGATTTACAGTAATATGTTAAGCCCACCAGTAGCGCCTTCTGTTGTGTGGCCGGCTTGCTTAGGCTGTGTATCATCTTCAAGTGAAGGTCACCGACAGTGGGTCCACTTCAGTTACCGTTACGGTATATCTTTACAGTACCAGTACAGCGTACATTTGCATTAAATTACAGTGGTGTTGATAGTGAGATTCGAGGGACGTGTAGAACGCAAGGTAGACGTAGGCGTGAATTAGACTATTTAGATGTATTTTAAAGGGATGAAGTTCGAGGATGTGGAGTGGATTCAAATGGCTGTGGGTATGGTGCAGTGGCGGAGTATTGTGAACACAATGAAATTTCGGTTATATAAAGGGCAAGGAATTTGTTGACTAAGTGAGCGACCATTAGTTTTTCAGTTCCCATGGAGTCTGGCAGTGCTGTGAGGAGCAAAGACACGTTATGATTTTGTTAATGTAAATGAACATATCACTTAATGGAATTATAATATTGTGACCGTACCAATGCATTCAATTTTTATATTCTCTTTGTTGATCAAACACTTCCGGACCTAAAACTTCGGAGCCCCTGCTCGGGCACACATGCCCAGTTTTACTTTCATAATCTCGTATGACCAAACAGG